CGAAGTAACGACATACTGATACCGGTTAGTAAAAACCATGAATTAATAGACTTTGACAAGTCTACAGACAGACGGCAGGCGAAAAACCTTTTAAAAAGCGTGATCTTCTTACATGCATTTCCAAACATTTGGTCTACCTACGCTGTAAAATGTATTATCTTTTCGATTTCCACACGGCATCTATTGCACGTCTGTCCGTNTAGTAAAAACCATGAATTAATGCTTTGACAAGTCTGCAGACAGACGGCAGATGCATGTGTCTATAATAAGAAGATCACGCATTTTAAAAGGTTTTTCTTCCTGCCGTCTGTCTGCAGACTTGTCAAAGCATTAATTCATGGTTTTTACTAACCGGTATCAGTATGTTGTTACTTCGGCATCATTTTGAAACGTGTATTACAATTAAATCACGGTCAAATATGTTCATCTTGTTGTAGTTGTCGCCCCCTTGACAGCGATTCTCTCTCTAGTTTAGTAAACTCAGCCCGACTCAGCCCTCTTTGTTGGCCTCGATAGAACCACGATTTAGTCGGGCCATAAAAAAAGTGAAAAAGTAGCCCCGGGCCAAAACTAGGCCAAGTGGAAGCGCAACCGAAAACGGGCCCCGCACGGCTCGGCACGCTTAAAGCGAGCTCTGCGCTGCAGTGGAAACGCGCCATAGCTGACATCAAAGACTCTGTGATTCTGCAAAAAGTCACTTAAATAAACTGTATTGTCAAAACAAATGTTCTACCATGTATCTAACCCCTAAAACCAAATGTCTGTTTGTTTACTGATTGGAAATGAGGACACAGCGTGGTAATTAGTGAGCTTTGGACATATTTAGGGGTCTATTTTAAACAGACAGATTCCTTTTGCTTCCAGTCTGTATGCTAAGCCAGGCACAGATTGTTTGCCCAGGACTCCTTTAGAAATGAGATGCAAATCTCAAGGAGATCCTTCCTGGTGGTTTTCTTAATTCGCCAAATGTTTCCAAAGTCATAAGTAACTTTTTTCCACTTTATCAACATTTCTTTCTCCACATACAAACATCCTTTTACCGAGCTGTAGCCACCTTGGATTCAAACCGTTTCTAACCTTTTTTTGACCTTTCCCTTTAACCCAGTCCAGACCCAGTGTTTACAGGTTTAGTTTGAAGGATTTCCAAAAGGAACATGTCCGACATTCATTGTATTTTCTTCATGGTCTTTTTGTCGTACAGCAGGAAGTGTGACTGTAGTTTGTTTCCGGTGTTATTCAGAGTCGATTGAAGCGACACAGCAGCTGATGGAAGAAGTTGCCCATTGACATTTCAGCCCTTTTTTTTCTTTTGTTTTCACATCAACCACATTCCTTTCTTCTTCTCCTCCTCTTTAGTTGGTATACGAGTTCTTCATCCGGTTCTTGGAGAGTCAGGAATTCCAGCCCAGCATTGCCAAAAAGTACATAGACCAGAAGTTTGTCCTACAGGTGAGTCCGTCTGCTCAAAATGTCTTCAGTTCATCCGTCTCACTCGTTTCTTCCTCCATGTTTTTTTTCCCTCCCGGCTGTCCTCTCTGTCTCTCTTTTGCTTCGACGTTTTTTTTCTATTCTCTTCCTCTGGGATTATGATTTCTTTATCTGTCTGCGTTCCTTCTCTCCGCGCAGCTCTTGGAGTTGTTTGACAGCGAGGATCCTCGGGAGAGAGACTACCTGAAGACAGTCTTGCATAGAATCTACGGCAAATTCCTGGGTCTGAGGGCTTTTATACGAAAACAGATCAATAATATTTTTCTACGGTGAGTAATTAGTCCGTCGAAAATTTTCTTAAACCTTTTTTATCCATTAAATGTTGTTTCCACTCTAATAATCACAGGATTCTTAGCACCGTGTATCCACTTGTATTTGCCTGTTCCCTTTTTGTATATAAAGTGTATATCTAGTTAAAAAATATGTCAAGTTTCTTCAGACAAGGGGTTCATGTACTTTCTGGAATTATAGGAATCGTTGCTAAAAAGGAATAGACAAGACTCAGCTTAATGACAGAAATGTCAGATTGTATTATATTTTTTTCACATTTGTTAGATTACTAAGCAGCTGAATTAATAAAAACAATATTTAAGGTTAGAAAAGGTGAGGACATATTCTATCACTAGCTGGTGCAAAAAGTATTCACAGTGTACTGGGCAATATTGTCAACTTTATGAATATTAGAAAACATGATTTTGACAAATGTTGTGTGTTTTCAAGTTATTTCTGTGTCCAGCATCGACACAGTTAAACAGAAGTCATGTCAAATAATTCTGGTGTTTGTTTTTCTGCCAGCCATTTATAATCTCCATTCAATGTGGTCCTTTACAAGTCATCTGGGTTTAGTAGTTGATCTCCTCTCACTTGTCTCCCCTCTCCTGTGCCTCCCCCCCCCCCTCTCTGGCTGCAGTTTTGTTTATGAGACGGAGCACTTCAATGGGGTGGCTGAGTTGCTGGAGATCCTGGGGAGGTATGTGGAGGCCTCCGACCCTCAAACACACACTTACACACACCTCTGTTAGCTGATGCTTTGAGACAGAGCACAAAGACCTCAGAGCGCCAGCAGAACTGAGCTCTACTCTGATAACCGCCTGCTTTCTTTAGTTGTAATGATATAAGAATGTCTCATTTAAGCATACTCGCTTAGGGGGATATTGATCTTCTTCAAGAGACTCCCCAGATAACAAAATGCAGATACGAAATGAAGAGAACTCAAAAGCTGATCCTCTTTTTATGGAGCCAAATGATAGTGTAGATGTGAAGTTCAGGGAAGAGTCAGGAGCAGAGTTTGACTTGTAGATAAGAAATGAATTAATCCCTTCGGCTCAACGGTGTTTTTAATCCATAGAAAATAAAGACCACACACACACATGCAAACGCACACACACACACACACACACACACACACACACACACACACACACACACCATCAGATTTATATCAGGATTAGTTGATAAAAAAAGGAATTAAATATCGCTAATTTGCTCAACAATTGGTCAACTAGTTTATTTACACATAAAAAATCTACCAATTGCTAATTCCTTTAGAAGTTCTGCTGCTATAAGCTTTACTCGAAGAAGGTGCTCTGATTAGCTGATACATTGATTATCAATTGACTGAAAACATGAATAAAGACCTTGGAAACAACATATTTGATCCATACATATCGAAAGAGAGTTTTTTTTTCTGAGAGCCTGGAGGTTTGAGGAGCTTCATCTCTTTCTTTGTCCTCCAGGCTCCACTGCCTGTATAAACAGTCTCCTTTATTCCTGCTGCTCATTGATCTCCCGCTTCCTTTCAAAGCGTCTCAATGAGACTCTTTCATGTGTGCATGTTTAATTTATGTTTATTCTTTCTCTATTTTTCTCTCCTCTCCCTCAGTATAATCAATGGTTTCGCTCTGCCACTGAAAGCGGAGCATAAACAGTTTCTGGTCAAAGTGTTGATCCCCCTCCACACCGTCAGGAGTCTGTCCCTTTTCCACGCACAGGTAACACATCTCTACCAATAGGCCACAAAGCAACAGACTGATTTTTCAAAAATAACTTCTTAAAGGTGTCATTTATTTCAGAAACACTTTTTGTTATATTCCATGGAATGCTCTTAACATCCGGATAGCAATGAATATATTAAATGCTTTGACAATAAATACATGTGGAAGCCGTAGTACTGTAAAAAGCACGACCAATCATCTGAGCCGGCCCGGCTAAAATAACTGGATGGCCTACCTGCCTGTCAGCCTTCCATCTGTGCACAAACTTATCTCGTGCCCTCATTGGTCATGTGCGTGTTCGTGTGTGTTGGAGGAGGTGCTCTGTAAGGAAGTCTGAAGGAAGGGGCAGATTTTTTTCGGCTGCGTACTTTCAAACTCTAGCGCACTCGAGCTGGTTTCTCCGTTCTTACGTACCCTACCTTTAAAGTTAATTTATCTTTTAAATGAATTAACTTTCCTAATTGAACATAACTTTTGCCTCCAAGCAGAGTATCTTTTGACCATATGCTAAAAAATTTAACAATTTCTATCCGTTTTCAAAATAATATGGCTTTTAGAATTATTCAAACTGTTTTCATGCGTCTTTGTATTTGAGCTTGTGCAGGAGTTTTCATTATGTGTTGTGCTTTGTACGAGATTTCGTTACTCAGTGACTAGTACTGTTGTATGCTAAGCTAAAGGCTAAAGTGTGTCCTCACATGTTGTCTCCTCTCTCCTTGTAGTTGGCGTATTGCATTGTACAGTTCCTAGAGAAAGACCCAACATTAACAGAACCAGTAAGTATGCACCAACAGATAATAACAACTGTTATTTAACTGTGTTTTAATAAGTCTCCATTATTTATTTTGTGTCTTTGTCAATTAAAGGTTAATACAATCAATTACTCAATAACTGCCATGGTAGATTTTAGCATTACAGCTGGTAATTGAGGTTGATCAGAAATGGGGCAGACAGCGCCTCATTGGGGGGGAAAGGAGAAGTTCAATGAAAGTAAAACAATTATTGTAGAAATAAAAGCTTTTCTAAACTCAGCCTCTTCATCATCCTCAGGTCATCAGAGGCTTACTGAAGTTCTGGCCAAAAACCTGCAGTCAAAAAGAGGTGAGGCCTCTTTAACTTGGTTTCACTTTGAATGGTGTGTTTCTCTCTGTGTGTGTGTGTGTGGTAACGTTTCTTTTGTCCGTTGCTGTGTGCAGGTGATGTTTCTAGGAGAGCTGGAGGAGATCCTGGACGTCATCGAGCCCACACAGTTTGTGAAGATCCAGGAGCCGCTCTTCAAACAGATCTCCAGATGTGTGTCCAGCCCACACTTCCAGGTCAGTCAGCATCCTCCACTGATCAACTGTTAGGATGGAAATGACTGATATGTGCTTTACTTGCAATGTAGTGTAGAAACAGGCATGTACATAATCTGTTTAGGGATTTGTAAGAGTAGTTAGGAGTGTTTTAATACCGTTTTAAAGTGTCCTCAAAACCTAATTATATAAAGGCATCGCCCTAACTTTTCTTTACTGATTATTTTAATTATTTTATATATTTGCATTCCCTCATATATCATCATTTTCTACTTTTTTTTAATATCTATTTGATTTTTTTTGTATTTTAAAATACTTTTTTAAGTTTATACATTTCATCATATTATTTTCTGTATCATAACTTAGGGCAACACCTATACCTTTTAAGGCTTTCGTCTATAACAAACATATTTGGGAAATGAATGGGAGGACACAAGTAAAAAAAGAGAGATATTCAGGATTCTCCACAGACACTGAGCCAGGTTTGTGTTTTGGTGGCAGGTTGCGGAGCGAGCTCTGTACTACTGGAACAACGAGTACATCATGAGTCTGATCGAGGAGAACTCCAGCGTCATCCTGCCCATCATGTTCGCCAGCCTCTACAGGATCTCCAAAGAGCACTGGAACCCGTGAGTAACGCTTGAAAGGAATTACCCTTTATGTACAAAAACAAGACTGGATTAGATCTTTTTAAAGAAATTAGCCAAATTCTTTAGGTTTAAGATAATTTTAATTGAGCTTTGATTCTATGTTCCCACATCAAGTCATGTGGTGTCTGTGAATTTTTGCTGAGCAGCAGCTCTCCTTTGTTTTGACTGTTTTTCTCATGACCTGAAATTCACTCGGCTCTGTTTACTGTAAACAGCAGACAACACAACTTCTGAGTGCATGACCAACTTTATTTTTTTAAATCTTGAATATTAAACATAACTCTAGGAAAACATTTGTTAAAACCTGTCTTTTAAAATGCATTTAATTACAACTCTATACTTAGTCAACATCCTACTATTGATCCAAAACAGCCATTTGAAGGCATACTCGGAGGAAGTCACTCCATAAATAACATGTACTTTACTGCTGGTAGGTTTCTCATTTATTTGAATGGGATCATTTATAATTATATAAGTTAAAACACTGTTGTTATAAATTGATGAATTGTATTATGCCAATTAAAGGTATGCCAAAGACACGTCCATAGCCGCGTTCACACCAAGTACTTTGCCGTACTTAGTTCCCAGCACTTAGTACCCCCATGGTACTAAGAGCCTATCGCGTTCTCACCGGAATAAGTTCCCTGAGGGAAGATTACGCAAATCAGCAGCTGACGTCACTTAGTCTTCTTCTGCTTTGGGTTTACTGCAGGCCACTTCACGGCGTATACTCCCCCGGAGTTGGGGACTGGCTTCAGTTGAAGCTGCTGGGACTCCCAGCAGCTTCAACTGAAGCCTTCCGAGTAAATCGCCAGAACGCAGACACCTCCTCATCTCCACCGCTCCCATGTTTTCTTTTGTGTTGCCATAATTTAGCCTCTCTGCATTTCTGCCCTGGGCAAATGCTAACAATGCTAATGCGAGGATAATAAAATGGCGGCTCTACAAAACATTTCAGAGTTTTACGGGGCGTGGTTTGCAATTCGCCAAGCCAATCAGAACTGGGGCACTTTTTTCCCCCAGGAGAGTACCACCTCTCAGCAGGCACTAAAAATGGGGGTAAAAGTTCCCGGCACTAAGTACTCTTTTTGGTGTGAACGCGACATAAGGGGTACTAACGGAACTAAATGGGAAAAGTACGGGGAAAACTACTCCGGTGTGAACGCGCCTAATATGTCCAACTTCTCAAGTTTTTTTAAGTTATTGGAAAATCTAAATAATTAACTATAAAATCATATATTCACATTTCAATATAGTAAGAAATGAAACCTACGTGCTGCTCTTTAAATGGATTTGTCTCGTGGACTCTTGATAAAAGTTTCTANTGCTTCCATCTGTGCACAAACTTATCTCGTGCCCTCATTGGTCATGTGCGCCTTCGTGTGTGTTGGAGGAGGGGCTCTGTAAGGAAGTGGCAGATTTTTTCCGGCTGTGCATTTTCAAATTCTAGCGCACTCGAGCTGGTTTCTCCAAAATGACCAACCCCACCTTTAATGCATATACTTAAATTGTTTGACCTTTTTTGATACCTAGTAACTGGAATTACAAAATTGTCAACACAGAGTTGCTAGAGACAATTT